GGAAGTGCTCAGAACTTGAAAGCTTTCTATGATAGTCACCTCGCATGGAAGCTTCCCACACGGGAGCTTCCCGCGGACAGGCCCTTGCTTTTTCTGTGTCTTGCTCCAGAAGGTCCTCCGTCACCGCCGGGGCACTTTCTTCCCCCTGGTACCTTGCCTACTTCCATTCGACCCACACTTTGTGTGTGGGATGGTTGCTTCAGTGTCTGTTGAGGCCCGGTCTTTCTTCAACGACGGGGCACTTCTTCCGCGTGTGCCCTGGCTGCTTGCACCGGCTGCACTCGCCCCCTGATGACTGCGATGCTTGTGGCTGCTCCTCATCGCCTGCACCGTCAGTCTGAGGAATTCGCAGGGGGAATGGAGGCAGACACGCCGGTGGTGGTGGTGGTGATGATGATGGCGGCGGTGGCGGTTGAAGTGACGATGATGGTGGCGGAGGAGGAGGTGGTGGTGCTTGCTGCTGCTGCTGCTGCTGCTGCTGCTGTTGTTGTTGTTGTTGTTGTTGTTGTTGTTGTTGTTGTTGTTGTTGTTGTTGTTGTTGTTGTTGTTGTTGTTGTTGTTGTTGTTGTTGTTGTTGTTGTTGTCGTTGTTGTCGCCGCTCACGCTGCAGTGCGCTGCCAGGGTCGAAGATCCAGCTCGTGCCTGGAACAGGACCGGCGAGGGCGCGGTCGTTGCGGTCACTGACGGTGCACACGCGCGGATCCGGGCCCTGAACTGCGAGGGCAAAGCAGTAGCGCCGACCCCGCTTGATCTTGCGATGACTGTGCATGTCTTGACCGTCGTTGGGGTCATACAGGGAGTCTCTGTTCCTGTTGTAGTTCCTGTCAATGTATGATTCATCGAGATACACCTACAGGCAATTGAGCCACGTGAGACACGAAAAGGGAACATTGCACATGCGAAGAAACATCGACAACACAGCAGCATGGGCACACACACACACACACACACACACACACACACACCTCTCTGAGGCGCTCGTCAGGTGGCAACCTCCTGTTTGCATCAAACTCCTTCAGATACTTCGCGAGCAGCTGCTTGTGCCTCGGGTTCTCTTGAACAACGTGCTTGTTGCCGCGAAGGTAGCCCGCACGACGAAGAAACCGCTGCACTGCCCGCAGAGCCGCCGCCCTGTCCAGTTCGTCGTCACCATCGCCAGCAAACGAAGGTCGCACGTCCACATGCCTGTGCTTGCGTAGGAAGTCAAGCACCTGTACGGCCGTGATGCGGTGTCCACCTTCTCTCTGCATGCGCACGTGATCGCGAACCTGCCTGAGCACACGTTTTGTCGTGGGCACACGTGTCGGCAGCCGTGTCGCCTTGCCACGGCGGTTCTCAACAGAAAGTGTCTTAAGGCCCTGCAGACACGAAGCACATGGAATATGAGCCAACATGAACAGATCTAAGACAAACAGCACGCTGGTGTATGAGTTGACCACAGCAGGTACATCTCCTCAACTCACATCTATGCCGTGCTCTTGCAACAGCTTGTTGAGCATTGCATACTTCCGACGCACAGTGCTGAGGCCAACCCTGTGTTGTTCCAGACCGAGGTAAAAGAGTGAAGTGAGGTCGGCCATGCGAATGAATCATCTATGTCACAGTTGACACATGCAAACACGTCAGCTTGCACACTATGTAACAAAAGAGTGTCAACATACCCCAACTGCTTAGCAGCACGTTCATCGACCTGGCCATTCGAGCGCTTGCCCTTGGACTTCCTCCGGTTCTCCAAGTGTGCCAATTTCAACTGCATGTACACATGCAAAACCAGAAGCGTTTCCTTCTCTGTCAGGGTTCCCTGACCCCTCATGTTCCTCAGGCACGCACATATCTCCATGATCTCCTGAGGAGTCAGGTGCTTCTTGGTTACCGGCTTGGGCATGTCTTGTCGTGCCCGCTTTGGTGAGTTGGTGGCAGCTCGCCTTCATCCTTTCATCGTCGCTCAACACCTCGAAATTAGAGGCACAAAAACATCATCGCCCATCGTCGATGATGGTGGTTGAAATTTCCTCTATTTTGCCGACGATTTGCACGAAAGATGCAACTTGACAGCGGTTGCTTGGGGCGTGTGCGTCACCCTTGCACCCCAAACCAGCGCAGATGCATGTGCAAGGCCGGCGTGGTGCTGCCGGGCAGCCTGCACACGACTCAAATCCAACCACAAACGAGAAAAATAAAACCCTACCATTTCGTGTGTCGGGCGCCATCAATCAATCACCATCATCACGTTGATTTGATTGGATCATCATGAGCTCCGAGGGGTACGAGGAGGCAATGGAGGCCGCCAGGGATGAAGAGCAACAGCAATCAGACCAAGAGCCGCAGGAACCCCCAGATCAGCTCACGGTGGCAGGCATGCTGATTGAGGAGGTGTGTGTCCTGTTGTGTGTGTGTGTGTGTGTGTGTGTGTGTGTGTGTGTGTGTGTGTGTGTGTGTGTGTGTGTCTTTCAGTGCCTGTCCTGGCGGCTCTCCTGCTCCTGCTCCTGCAGTGCCTGTCCTGCTCCTGCCCCTGCCCCTGCCCCTGCCCCTGCTCCTGCTCCTGCTCCGTCCCCTGCCCCGTCCCTTGCTCCGTCCCCTGCTCCTTGCTTCGCCCAACTCACACGGTGAGCGCCGTGGTGCTCTGTTTTGTCGTGCTCTGCTTGCCCCCCTCAACATCATTTTTAGTATGGGGCGGCGGACCTGAGTGAGTATGACTACGACGACCCGGAATATGAGCGACTTCTCGGTGCCTCTCAAACCCTTCCCGCGGTGCTGCAGCGCGTCTTTGGTCCAACCCACGGCGTCTGCAACAAGCAATGGGGTCACAATGAGGTACGTCTGCCTGGGCAGCTTTCACCACTGCCCCCCGCCCCACTTCTGAATCCGCCAAGCCTCATACCGTGCTCATGACCCCAGTTTCAACACGTGCACAATCCACACAGATTGCCTACCGCTGCCTGGACTGCCAGAAGCTGGAAGTGACAGCCTTCTGCCCTACCTGCTTCCTCGAAGGTTAGCACGAGTGCACCTGCGCGTGCTCTGAGTTGGCACCTCGGGGCCGTTTCATGCTATGGTGGCTGTCAGCTGGCCAGGCCAAATTTGTTGCGGCTGTGGAGTGACCGTGGGATGTTACCTGCAGTGATTGTGGCTCACTTGCGCTTCGTCCTCTGCTGTTTCTTGGGGCAGGCGGCCACGAGGATCACCGGTATGTGATGTACATGAGCTCCAGTGGCGGCAGCTGCGATTGTGGCATGTCCACCGCCATGGACACCCGCTTCTGCTGCCCGAACCACAGCCCACAGGTACATGCTTGGCTGCGTGTGCTTACCTCTCTATACCTAAGCCGTATGTGTACATGTGTGTGCATGTGTGCATGTGTGTGTGTGCATGTGCGTGTGTGTGTGTGTGTGTGTGCATGTGTGCATGTGTGTGTGCATGTGTGTGTGTGTGCATGTGTGCATGTGTGCATGTGTGTTTTGTGGCTGTACCCGTGCTAGGTGCTTGGCCTGTATTTTCTTGGCAGCCATTGGGCGAGTGCATTGGCGCTGTGTCTGTGAGCTTATACGCGTGCTGTTTTGTGCACCGTGGGCGCGTCCACGTGCCTCGTCACCATCATAGACGCCGGACACAGGTGCACTTGAGCGGGATATTGCTGCTGGCAAGCTCGACGCCCTTCGCGCGTGCTTCAAAGAGCACCTCCGCTTTGCCCTCACAGATGTGCGTTAATGGGGTTGCCAAATGGCGTTGTGTCAACCTGACTCATACGCTGACTTGGCCTGGCTCGTGGTTGCTCTGTTGCACCACGCACTCGCTCACTCACTCACTCACTCACTCATGCGCACACTCACTCATGCACACACACTCACACTCACTCACTCACTCACTCACTCACGCGCGCACACACACACACTCACTCACTCACACTCTCACTCACTCACTCACACTCTCACTCACTCACTCACTCACTCACTCACTCACTCACTAATGCACACACTCACTCACTAATGCACACACTCACTCACTCACACTCTCACTCACTCACTCACTCACTCACACTCTCACTCACTCACTCACTCACTCACTCACGCGCGCACACACACTCACTCACACACTCTCTCTCACTCATGCACACACACTCACTCATGCACACACACTCACTCACTCACACACACATGCACTCCCTCCCTTCCTGTGTGGCGCTGCTTCAAACACCGCTAGCACCGCCCCTCCATCCAATTCCTGCAGGAAATGGCCGATTTGCACTGGGCCCTGCGCTGCATGATCTGGCGATGCGTGCGGGACCTTGAAGCTGAACAGGTAGGTGGGTTCAGGCCCTTGCATGTGCGTGTGCTTGCTCGTTGGCGTGGTGGTCCACATGCAAGCATGTGCAATTGTCGCGTATGGTTGCGGCATGGCTACGATATTGTTGCTGGACCCCTTTCACTGTCAGCTCTGTCACTAAAACCTGTGCTCTGCCAACCACGCTCCGCAAACCAACACGCTAGGGGTTCGACTGGGTTGAGAGAGCGGTCAGGCTGGCCATCTGCAGTGAGCTGCGCGCATCAATCACCGTGCTACTCGTCAGCCTCATCCCCACCCCAGAGATGAAGGCTCGCCTCACACGCGTCGTCATGGACAAATATCACGAGGTGTGTATGTGTGTTTGCGAGTGTGCGAGTGTGTATGTGTGCTTTTGCGAGTGTGTATTTGTGTTTGCGAGTGTGCGAATTTGCGAGTATGTGAGATTGTGTGTATGTGTGTGTGCGTGTGCCGTTGCGTTACTCCACCTTCATATGCACAGTGCGTGTTGTGTCCGAGCTTTCTTCACTGACACGCCGTCCCATCACACGTGCGCACGTGTTCACCTGTTTGTGTGGACGTACATGCGCAGTTGAGTGAGTTGCACAAACACGCAACGGATGTCAACGAGATGAACAGCGAGCACCTTCGTCTCACCGTCCAGATCTTCTCCAGCCCGGGCGAGGTGGGGTGACTGCAGTGCACGCATGTACACACACACACACACACACACACACACACACACACACACACACACACACACACACATACACACACACGCACACGCACGCACACACACACACACGCACACACACGCACACACACACACACACACACACACACACACACACACACACACACACACACACACACACACACACACACACACACACACCATGTCCCTCCATTCTCGGCCTCTCAACCCCCTCCCTCCCCCGTCTTGACAATACTGCATTGCCACTGCATGCAGTTGCTGCCATACTTGCTGGAGCGCAATCTTCTTCGTTTGCTGCTGGACAACCTGGCTCGATTCATGCAGCCGTCGCTGTGCCCTCGCCCACACGTTCAAGGCAACGCTGCTTCCGCCCCGGCCACTTTCGCTGCCCAGTACGCCCGCGCCTCTTGTCTCCACCCGTCTGACTGTGCGGCGTGCGTGCGTGTCTGTCTGTGCGGCGTGCGTGCGTGTCTGTCTGTGCGGCGTACGGGTGTGTGTGTGTGTGTGTGTGTGTGTTTCTCTGCCTGCCTGTGGTTGTGTCATGCACAGACATGCGCGCGTGCTTGCGTGTTGGCGCGCTTGCGTAAAATTGCGCACAGCAACGATCAAGTCCGTCAATGCTCCCCTCATCCGCGTGAACGGCGACACGAATGCGTGCAGGAGTTCGCTCTTCACAGAGGGGCGCTTCTGGCCGCTCGCATTTGACATCAAAGACTACATTGCCTACGACCACAGCGTTGCACGTGACTTCCTCACCAAGTGAGAAGGCTATTTCCACTGATGCTGTTGGTGCTGCTGTTCGACGTTGTTGCATCAACGCACCACTGGCTTGAGCGTTGCGTCCATCACTGTCACACACATCGACTGACACACACTCCCACACACACACACACACATACACGCCACCTCTTGTGCAGCCCTGAGACGGTGCAGTCGTTTGCTGATTTGTGCACGCTTACGGAGCTGGCCGATGTGAACATCCGCAAGCGCGACATGTTCGTGCTCTTCGAATCGGACCGCAAGCAAACGTACGCCCACCCATCACGCTGTCGTGCGCAAATCCAACCCGCAGCTCGTGTTCTCTCTCTCTCTCTCTCTCTCTCTCTCTCTCTCTCTCTCTCTCTCTCTCTCTCTCTCTCTCTCTCTGTGTGTGTGTGTGTGTGTGTGTGTGTGTGTGTGTGGCTCACCAATGATATGCAGCTCATACGCACGTACTTTGATGAACATGTTGTCGCCACTGCAGTTACAACTTCTTCACGTTCTACTCCACGTGCTTCTACACGCTGACGTGCCATGCGTACTTCTTCCTCTGGTCTCCAGCCGTTCAAGAAGAGTTGGCAGCGCCAGACGCAACACTCACCGTACGTTGTTGCTAGTTCGTTTTTCGTGCGAGTGTGTTCGGCTGAAAAAATGCGTTTGTCTGTATTCCTTCGTGGTTGCCACTGTCTACCTGCGCTGTTTAGCCCCTTGACATGTGTTCTGCAGCAGCTCACAACCACGTGCTGCCCGTGCTTGTTCCCTTTGCTGAACTGTTCCACCTGCAGAAGACCCTGGTGGCAACCCTGTGTACGTGCTACGCTGCACTGCGCACCGTACTCGAGATCCCCTTCGCGTTCCCGAGCGAGGACGTGTACACGACGTGTCTTCCGTTTCACCGACACATTGCCGTCATTCTCGGTGCCATCTGCAGACACGCCAGCATCGACCAGTTCAAGTTCGTACTGCTGCGTTGGCTATGCACGCTGTGTGTGCTTGTTTGGTTGTGTGTTCGTGTATATGCGTTTGTGTGTGAATGTGTGTGTGTGTGCGATTGTGTGTCAATTTGTTCTCCGTGTCTGCAACACGGGCACCCGTCCCCCTCCCCCGTTTCCGCCTCTCAAGCCGCATGTCGACGACATTGCTGTTCCTGCTGCTGCTCTGTCCAGGAATGTGCTGGCAGAGATGGGCAAGGCGAGCTCGTCGCATCCGCCGCAGTCACCGATCGAGGTGCAGTCCAGACACCACCGCCAATTGCTTCCACTCAAATGTTGATGCCGGACACGCACACACACACATACACTCATATGCATATGTTCAGAAACACACACACGCGCCCGCGCATACGATTGTTTTACTTCGTGTGCGTATCTGTGTTCACCTACGCCGAACATCCTCCCCTCTCCCCTCTGTTCACATCGCTGCTTGGTTGTGCAGGTTGTGCGCGCGCTGTCTGTGTGGCCGCTCCGTATCTTCTCCGCTCGCGCCCGGCAGCGCATCGGCCTGTGGAAGCGAAACGGTGCCAAGCCCCACCTTCAGGTGTGTGTGTGTGTGTGTGTGTGTGTGTGTGTGTGTGTGTGTGTGGTTGTGTGTGTGTGTGTGTGTGGTTGTGTGTGTGTGTTTGTGTGGTGTGTGTGTGTGGTTGTTTGTTTGTGTGTGCGTGTGTGGTTGTTTGTTTGCGTGTGCTCCTTTCTCTCAACCACATCACTGACTCACTTCTCTTCTCACACCACGCCATGACGACAGATGCTGCTGTACACGTCGTCAGAAATGCCCAACGTCGTGTTTGCGGACCTGTTCCTTGTGCAGTGAGTCACCACCAACTATGTGGGCTGCTGCGTGCAGATGCCACTGTGACGCCCAGCCATCGTCGTGCACTCTGGCACACGCTCTTCCCTTCTCTCGCGCACGCTTGCACACTCTAACTGCCCTTGTTTGCCTGCATGCAATGTAGGCTGTGCGCGGAGCTTGAAGGCACGGACGAGTACATTTCCCGCGTGCAGACATCTTTCCTCCACGACACGCCCTGGCTCGACGTGCTCGGTGGTGACGCAAGCGTGAGTCGTGCAACCCACGCCAACGCTGCCTGCAGCGCTCGCGCTCCGCTTCTGCATCAACCTATCATTATGCTCACACCTTATTCGTTTGCTCCAACCTCCCGTGTTCATGTTGCATTGACGTCGTGCTTACCTCGTGTCCATCTTGTGCGTACGCCTGTGGTTCAGGTTGACGAAGCGATGGCGGGCGTTGATGAGCTTGACCGCCTCTCCTTTGCGGCACTGCTCACAGACATGCAGCGCTTCCTCCTCCTCAGCGTCCAGGACAACCCCATTGTCACAGGCAACTTCCAGACCCTCATCGACCACAAGGTCCGTGTGCTTTTGTTTACTTATGTTTTTGCGTTTGTTTGCGCCGTTTTGTCTTTTGTGTTTGTGTTGTTTGTGCGCGCTCTGGCTTGCACCCAATGCTGTCGGTCGTCATCATGTTTGTGGCTTCAAATCGATTCGGTTGTATGGTTATGTCCACACACACACACACACGCACACACACACACACACACACACACACACACACGCACGCACACACACACACACACGCACACGCACGCACACACACGCACACACACATACTTCACGCTCATCCCATTGCAGGTGCAAAGCTTCCTTGCCCTTGGTCGCCAGAAAGGCAGCAGCATCGACGCGTATGCTTTTCGGGATCCGCAAATCAGCTCCCACGCGGCTGTTCGTGCCGCCATTGAGCGCGTGGCAGAGTTCCATCCAGCGACCGTTTCCCACGGCAACATGCGAGAGGTGCGCTCAGAAGCCTTGTCGCTGTTGTTGTCCTTCTTGTTGTGATGGCGCTTGTCGCAACTTTCGTACCGATGCTGTGCTCGTGTTATTCATGGTATGAAGGCACGGCTTGCGCTCGTGCAGTGCTGCAGTTGCCGAAACCTGTGTGATGCGCCCCTCGCATTCATATGCTGCTGCTGCTGCTGCTTGGTTTTTGATTTGCGTTGCTTTGCAGGGCTACTTTGAAATGAAGAAGGAAATGTGGGCGGACATCAACTGGCCGCTCATTGCAACACTTGCCACGGATCTCCGAAAGATGAACAACATGATTGACAACTTCAACACAGCCATGAAGTCAGTGACCTGCGTCACGCAACGTGCACGATGGCCGTGTGTGTACTTGCCAGGCTGCGTCTGTACGTGTACCTGTCTGTCTGTGTATGTGCTAATGTGACGTTAATTCCAGCCACACATTCTCACGCACCGTCAATCCCAACACAACTCATGCCTCAGGCTGCCTGGTGATGAGGTCACCGAGTACCACGAAGTGCGGACTGGCTCAATCATGTCATTGTCCCCTGTCCTTGCTTCACCAGGTATGATATTGTGTGTGTGTGTGTGTGTTTATCGCTGCTGGTCACGGTGCCCTTGCAGCGACCATGACATGGGTGGCACAACCACGCTTTGATTCCTCTTGACGTTTCGTGGCGTTGCACGGTCACACACACACACACACACACACACACACACACACACACACACACACATGCGATCACACGCTCTCTCTCTATCCCCCCCCCCACACACACACACACATAAACAAACACACACCATCTCGCTCCACTTACACGGCCTCGCAAACACGTGCGTGTGACACGCCCACATCAATGTGAAACGGCGATTGTGCTCCCAACACTACAGCCATGCTGTCCACACAGCTCAACCTGCTGCGGGCCATGCTGTCATTGAAAGGCACGCCAAGCTACTCCCCGTCTGTCGTCGGCGCGTGCTTGTCCTTCATCGCCGCGTCCGTGTTTGTACGCAGTCGCAACCAGGCCGCACGCGTGGATGAGAGGGATGACAACGACGACGATGGTGATGATGCGAGCAATTGTGACGATGGCAGTGGCCTTTCGGATCACGACGAGCGCCTCCTGCGCACTCTCGTGGAGCAGATGATGACGCAGTTCAAGGTGTGATTGGTTGGGTGGCTGTTGGTGTGTTTGCTTGTGTGCTTTGTTTGTGTACCGCGTTGTTTGCACATTTGCCTGCAAGCAACACAACGCTCAACACCTTGCACCATTTCTTCTTTCTCCTATCGCCACCACCGCTAGAACACCACGCCGCTGCAGGGGTTCCTCACGTCGCTGTCGCGCGTGCCGGCTCTGCGCGAGTTCATTGCTGCGCTGCGCGGCGAGAACGACGAAGACAGCGAGGAGAGCGATGGCGCCAAGACGAAGAAGCAGCGGAAACGCGCCAAGAAACGCCAGCAGAAACTACTTGATAAGATGCTGCAGCAATCCACCGCCTTCATGAAGGTGTGTGTGTGCGTGTGTGTTGGTGTGTGTGTGTGTCTGTGTCTGTGTCTGTGTGAGAGTGTGTGTGTCTGTGTGAGTGACAAAGTCTATCCTTGCAGTACAGATACGTCCTATGGGCTTTGTTTTGTTCTGATGCCTTTCCTTGACCCATCCCCGCCTCTTCTTCCGCCGGATCATTGTTCCTTCCGTTCACTGCAACCAGCACCGTATGGAGCCTGACAGCAGCGAGGATGAGAGCGACCACAGCCGCCATCATTCCCCCGACAGAACAGAGCCTGTCATCAAGCCTCGCGCACCAAAGGCAACGTGCGTTGTGTGCCAGCGTTCCATCACCACCCAGCGTGGCGCGTCCATGTTTGGCATCTACTCCATCCCTGTCAGCGAGCAGTGCCAGCAACACAGCAACAGGTCTGTTGTGCATGCGTGCAGGTGTCTGTGTATGTGTGTATGTGTGTGTGTGTGCATGGTTGCATGTGTTTGCACGTTAATGCTCAAACTCAAACACGTTCGGTCGGTCGGCTGCTTTTCCTTTGCTCACCCCACTTGTCCTTTTCCCGAACCACTATTGCTGTGGCGACTGGTCAGGGAGCTTCTGCAGCCCTTGTCTGACGCGCGCGAACCACCGGAGTCGTTTGCCGTTGGAATAACGCGTGCAGCAGGCGCATACAAGTTCATGCAGCTGTGCCAGCATTACATTCATGACGAATGCAAAGGGGTACGAGTATGGGTATGTGTGTGCGTGAGTGTGTGTGTGTGTGTGTGTGTGTGGCTTGATGTGCGCGGAAACACATTGTCTCACATCATGACGTCTTTCATGACTTCACTCACATGTGTACACGCGCATCCCTAAACACGTGCGCAACCGCAACCGTTCAGAACTTGTCACGCTGCCCCATCTGCCAAAGTGTGACAGACCTGTGCGTGTCTGGCTGCGTCGTTCCGAAAGTGTAAGTCAGCGTTCAGCGTACTGTTGCTTGTGACAACTGTGTGTGCGTGTCCGTGTGTGTGTGTGTGTGTTGTGTTGGATGCCGATGCCCTGCTTCGCTGGCTGCTTGCTGAGTGTGTGTGCAGTCGCACTCACATCCCTTTCCACCTCACACACACACACACAACCACCTGCTGTTCTCGCGCTGATTATCTCGTCGCCCCGTGGTGCGTGTGCAGGTTGGCGCATCACCACTGTCTGAGCTTCACGGCTGGGGCACCGCGCGTGGTCAACATCATGCAACAGTACCGCATGTTTGGCGCGCAAGAGACACTGCCCGTTGCTGCAGAGGCCCACATTGCACGCGACGGCGAGTACGGCTTCTCCTCAGACGTCATCTGGTGGCTCAGGTCAGCGCACACGCGTATCTGTGTGTGTCTGTTTGTCTGTCTGTCTGTCTGTGTGTGGCTGTGAAGCGCTGATATCATTGCCAAAGACGTGTGCTCATCGCCTGTGGTTCTGTATGCTTGCCCATTTGTCTGTATCATGACAGCGGACGAGCAATTGAATCTGCGCAAGACGATCCTCTGCAACAGGCGTGGTGAGCATCACTCATTCACTCAATGCCTTCGCACGGTCTGCTTGTTCGATGCATGTGTGTGTGTGTGTATGCATTAATCCTCGTGCGAGTGTACTTCATGACTTCGCTTGTGCACTCGTGCGTGCCCCCTGCTGTTTCAGGCTGCGCTTGCGCGACGAAGCCGCGTTCCTCCACTACCTCTCGCACACAATTGAGAGTAAGTACTCGCACTGAGCTCCTCTTGGTTCCATTGTTTGAAACCACTCGTTGCTGCTCAACTTGACGCTTCAATGATACGTTCTCACTCTCAATGGCCCACTCGCTGTCTCCCTCGCACCACACACACACACACACACACACACACACACACACACACACACACACACAGCGACGGTGGATGCGTATCAGCCGTCATTCTCCTGCAAGTACTTCCTGTACAAGACGACGCACATTGGCATGCAAAACCCAGAGCAGGCCCGTTCCTTCATGCAGCGCCTGCAGCAAAGTGCGTTGAAGCCATACTAAACTGTATGCGTGCGGTGTGTGTGTGTGTGGGTGTGGGTGTGGGTGTGGGTGTGGGTGTGGGTGTGGGGTGTGTGTGTGGGTGTGGGTGTGTGTGTGCTTCGAATCAACTTGACTTCCACGTCCACTCACGTGCTTGTGCGCATTGTTGCGGTTACTTCCAATTGCTCACCACGCTCGTGCGTGTGCATGTGCGGCGCGTCTCATTGTCTGCCCCTTTCTGTCTCTCTCGCTCAGTTGAGTTTCGCTGGCTGAATGGCGGCATGTTCAACTACCGCACGCCGCTCGAACTGTAAGCTGTCTACGCAAGCGGTGTCCCGCATTCGGCACAGCAACACAAAACAAACAAATCAAATCAACCACGACACCTTTGTTTCCGTGTGTCTGTTGTCGCCTCCTATCCACGTGCATGCTTTGCATCCCAAATCGATCCCTCACGTCACATCGCCTTCCAATCTCGCATTGCCGCGCACGGCCACCAGCGACACGTCTGAGTTCTGCCTGACCATCCTGTTTGGCGCCTTTCTGCACTATCCGCTCGAGCCCGCGGACTTTGGGGCGTTTTGCCGCCTCGTCCTCGCCCACGCCGTCGCTCGCCAGTCGCTCGTCAGCGGCATTGAGTCCAGACCCATCGTGCCCCGCGTACGTTGTGTGATTCGTTCGTGATTCGTGCGTGATTTGTGTTGCGCGCGCGCGCGCGTGTGTGTGTGTGTGTGTGTGTGTTTTGTGTGCATGTTTTGAGTGTTGCGTGGCGGTGTTGGTGCAGGCGATTAATCCTAGCGAGTCATGCCTGTGTGTTTTCATGCTGCCGTACTACTGCCTACCGACCTGTCTGTGTTGCACGCATGTGTGTTCGCGCCGCTCACGTTTGGGCTCGTTGTCCCTGCCTGCCTTCTCGCTCCACGCGTGCTCGTTCTCGCGTGCAGCCTGACCTGGAGAATGGACTTGAGTTTCTCTGCTTCACCACCGCGCTGGGCGAGTGGCGGGAGGTCGAAGGCATTCGCATCTCAACGGCAACGGCATTCAGCGAAGACCCACGCAGTAAGCACGCTGCTGGCCGTGCCTGCTGTACGTGGGAAGCTGTGCCACATGTTTTACCACAATCGTCGGTTTGTGTCTCTGTGTGGTGCTGTGACCATGTTTGTTGTTGTTGCACATATCACTGCTTTCATCTTACACTCGTACGCATGTGTCCCCGATTTGCCAGTCGACGGCTCTGGCGAGATCCCCAAGCATCATCTTGTCATCCAAATCAAGGATGATTCCCCCCACGAAGCGTACGTCCACGTTGTTCACATTCACGATACTGGACGCACTATTGGAGATGCATTTCAACACACACACACACACACACACACACACACATGAACACACATACACGTGCGTGTGCGGACTTTCTTTCTGTGTTGCTGCTCACAACACATGCACATGTACACGCACCTGCCTTCAGGGGCCCGTTTGTGATCGTGCTGAGGAACCCATCGCTCATTGATGTGCAGTGCTGCTACGTTGCCAAAGGCCTGGACAAGAAGACGACCGTGCCCCTGCGTGAGTTGTCGTGTACCTTCCCCATGCAATACGGCCATGCCACGCTCTGTCGCAACGTCATATGCAGGCATGTGTCTGTGTGTACGTTGCTGCGATTGGAGTATTTCCTCTCTCAACCCGCTCGTCATGCGTTTGTCGTCACAGCATTTGATCCCTACAAGATTGGCAAAGTCACACTCTGGCCGGCGGAAGCACAAGGTGTGTGTGTGTGTGTGTGTGTCTGTCTGTCTGTCTGTCTGTCTGTCTGTTTGTTTGTTTGTGCACCTGTTGTGGTATTGGTTGCGACATCGCTCACATTGTTTTGTTTCTGCCACAACCACAAATGCACAGATGGTCCGATTTCAAAGCCTGCCGACAAGCCCGTCCCAAGCACAGACAGGCCAGAGGGCGCGAAGGAAGACACAAGCGCTGGCAATGACGACACCACCCGTGACAACAGCGATGATGACAGCAACGCGAGCGCCGTTGCCGCTACAACTGCAATCACAGATGCGCTGTCTGCCCGCATGGAAGCAACAAACTCAACGCCACCACCAGCTCCCTCGTCAAGTGCACCTGAGGCGGCATCATCATCATCATCATCAACGTCGCCGTCAACATCGTCACCGCGCCTGCCGCCCTCCGTTCGAGCGGCAGTGCTTGGCCGGCGCCTCGCGTGCCCGTCGAAACCGTTTCCGCACGTGTCAGGCCGCGCCGGCGCACCCGTGATTGACCGATCGGCCGTTGACGACCTCGTCCACGCCATGCTGACGGGCGACGACACGAAGATCACGGACGACGAAGTGGAGGCATGCAAACGCGCGCTGGACAATGACGCAAACACAATCTGCAAGGCCGTGGAGCACGCCCTGCGTTTACTCGTCGTCCTCAAGTGCACCCTCTACGAGGTGAGGGCAGGCGTACGTGAATGTGTGTGTGTGTGTGCATGCGTGCATGCATGCTTGTGTGTATGTATGTGCTGGAGGGGAGAGGGTTGTGTGTCTGCCTGTCTTATCTTGCGCGTATGTGCAATGGTGCATTGGTGGTGTTGCCAAACAGTGGTGCTTAATGTGTCACCGCTTCATTTCACAAACATGTCATAACTGTGCCTGCGTGTACAGACACGGCTGTGCGTGCCTGAGTCTGTGCGCTGCGACTCGCCCTCCGTCGTTGACATGTTTGTCAACTTTCTCGATCTCAAAGGTGCTGAATCGTGCTTGTAGAGCTTGTCCAAACACGCACGCACACAATCAAGTGAAAAACACACACATGCACACGTGCACACGCATACACATGTGCGGGCATAGCCACTCATGAAACACACACACACACATCCACTCACAAACGGTTTCCCTGCTTCAATGCAGACACGTTTGCGGGTGTCGACTGGAGCGACGCGTCGAGTCTGCGTGCGAAGTTGCTGGAGCCATCGCAGCTCATCAAGGGATGGCTGCGCGCGTTTGCGTTCCGGAAGTTTCTCTCGTACGAGCACAAGTCGACCGTGGGCTGTGCTCAAGAGTAAGTTTTGCGCCAATTTGAGTGCCTGTCTCACCCATTAAATCGACTGCATCAGCGCTTACATTGTGTGTGTGTGTGTATATATACATGTGTGTGTGCGTGCGTGTGTGTGTTTATATATACATGTGTGTGTGCGTGTGCGTGTGCGTGTGCGTGCATGTGTGTGCCTGTGCGTGCCTGTGTCTGTGCGTGCGTGTGTGTGTGTGTGTGTGTGTGTGTGTGTGTGTGTGTGTGTGTGTGTGTGTGTGTGTGTGTGTGTGTGCGTGCGTGTGTGTGTGTGTGTGTGTGTGTGTGTGTGTGCGTGTGTGTATGTGTCTGCCTGTGTCTGCCTGTGTCTGTGCACAGACTGCCAAGCCGCCATCCACCAGAAGTGCCTCGTCTCCTCCAGCCGCCACCAACATTTCAGAAGGTTTGTGTGTGCTGCGCCCAGCCATTTTCGAATCGCACATGGGAGACCAGATATGGTTGCGCCACATACTCTCCCTGCCTCCCCTTCCAAACATTGCTACCTGCTCCCCCTTTCATACACACCACCTCACAATACCACTCGCGCACATCCGCTTCACGGTGTCATGGTGCGTTCGCCCCCCCCCCCGCCAGTTCCACGCGAAGTACAGCAAGGAGGAGCGTGTGGTCGTGGAAAAGGCCGTGTGCCTGTTGTGTGGAGACTGCTACGCCCTCGAGGAAGACGTCCCTGCCCCCCTTCCGCCTGTGCCGGTGAGCAGCCATGGACAGTACTGTTGCAAGTAGGCATACGCAAGCGAGGACACGCAGGGAGAGAGGAAGAGGGAGAGAAGACATTCGCACATGCACACACACACATGCACTCGTGTACAGAGACAGCCCATGCGTGTGTATGTGTGTGCGTGTGTGCGTGTGCCTCCACTGTGGTCGACAGAAGGATAGCATCTGAGCTGAGCATCTTGCTTCTCACTGGTTGCCACGTTCTGTTTGTTTGTTTGTTTGTTTGCTCCCTAGCACACGGAGGCGTGCTGCCCGCTCTACATGCAACGCAGCAAACCCGTCGCTTTTGTGAGTGCAGCGCTGTGTGTCGATTCATCCTCACGCGCCCGAGGTGTCAGTCATCATCACGAACAACAACGTTCGTGCTCGCTCACCACCACACTCGCTTGCTACATTTTATTTGTGTCGTCACGTGTGTGGTGCAACAATATCTGCGTTGTTGCACACATTGCAGTTTAAGAAGGGTGAGCGTCACCACGCCTGGGGAACGTTTTACCTTGATGAGCACGACGAAGAAGACAGGCGACTCATACGGTGCGCACAAGTGTGTGTGTGTGTGTGTGTGCGTGTGCGTGTGCGTGTGCGTGTGTGAGTGTATTTGGGTGCATGTGTGTGTATGTGTACGTGGCAATATGCCCGTCGTCTACACTGTGAACCTGTCGGTCTGTGTGTCTGTACATCGACACACATATATACTCATTCCCTTCTTCACGCATTCCCACCCCTCTCGCTATCACCACCACCATCACAGGGGTCGAAAGCTGCTCCTGAATCCGCAGCGCCTGAGTCTTCTGCACGAGGACTGGCTGCGCCATCGCGTCGATTTCCCGCCCGCAAACGGCCGCGCATGAGCTTGCATTTCGTGTTGCAACAAGTCGGTGGTTGTGTGGCGTGCAAACCTTCGTGGTCTTGCCTTCCCGAAATTCTCCTTTCTCCCTCAGCGCCCCCCCCCCCTCTCGCTCTTCCCCTTCTTTCCCACCCTCCATTTGTGCCTTTCATTAGCGTGTGATGCATTGTCTATTGGTTCGTGTATCCTTACTGTCTGACTAAACGTCCCCATAACCATAAAGGCACACCAATCCATGCCAGCATGACGGGTCGCTTGTGTGTGGCTGGGCCTTGCTCTCGTGTGGTGTCTGTGTGTGCGTGTGCGTGTGCGTGTGTGTGTGTCTGTGTGTGTGTGTGTGTGTGTGTCTGTGTATCTGTGTGTCTGTGTGTGCGTGTGCGTGCGTGTGTGTCTGTGTGCTTGTGTCTGTGTGCTTGTGTGTGTGTCTGTGTGTCTGTGTGCATGTTTGTGCGTGTATGTGTGCATCAGTTGAATGTGAGTGGAAAGTGCGCAGCAACTGATGCTGTGTCGGCCCAGTCGCCTGTCATGGTGTCATGGGTGAAGAGTGGAATATTTGGCAGATGGTGGGCGGAACGTGTGTATGTGTGTGTGTGTGTGTGTGTGTTTGTGTTGGGTGGGCGGGAGTTGAGTAAGCTGAAGCATCTCTTGCCAACACAGTTCGAAAACAAAGCACACGCACACACATACACACGCTCACTCATATCACACACACACATCACACATGCACACACATAACACACACACACACGCATACAAGCACCTGGCATGTTGAAGGCGATGCTGATGCGCGGTTCCGTGCAGGCGGTGGGCATGACCTGGTGCGGGAGCCAGCTTGGAAACAAGATGAGGTCGCCAGCTTTTGGTTGAACCACAATCGTGCCGTCCAGACCCGGATACGGTCCCCTGATCACATGTGCATGTGACACGGATGAGGGAAGGGGTAGGAAGCTGATGTCTGAGCAGCAATCGACGACGGAGAGGTTTGGTTGTCCGAGTACATGCACTAATGTACGACAATGATGCATGTATGCGTGCAACGCGGCACACAGACAGGCAGCAACACACAACATCAACGCAACGCAAACACGTACAACATGCACCACAAACGCACCTTGGGTCAGAGAACACAATTGGCCCCGCGTCCTCGGGCACAGCGACGTAGAACACTCCCGATACCATCTGCGCACAACCCGTGGAATCCATCAGCAACACACACTCATTCACTCACTCACATAATGACTCACTCACATAATGCCTCACTCACTTACTCACTCACTCACACACACACACACACTCACTCACTCGCACACATACACTCACTCACTCACATAATGACTCACTCACTCACGTACACACACACTCACACACACACACTCACTCACTCACACTCACTCACTCACTCTCTCTCTCACGCGCACATACTGACATTGTTTGGGTGAGTGTGCTGTGGGTGGCCCATACACCCTCGATGAACTGTGGCCCATGCCTGCAACTCCCGATCACGCTGCTCCACCGTCTCCTGCAGAAAACACACACACACAATACACAGGCGCCAACAGACAGCGCCAAAGAGAGACAGGAAGCCACGCGAGCATGAAAGCGTGAACAAACACTGGTAAAGCAGATCCAATACACTGCCACACGCCATCCTTCCGGCATGGACGTGTGCAGGGCAGTCGAGAGGAAGGTACAGCGGAAATCCTCACCTGAGACACGCCAATGGCGTGCAGGTATGTGTCTGTGACCAGGTGAAAGAGGCGCTGCAATCGCTGGATGATGGGGTGGTCCTTGAACCGGCGCTCCCAGCCGCCTTCCCGCTGCCAAGTGAAGAAGGCGTCGTTGACGCCGTTGTGTTCCCAGCTGTTGTTTACCAGTTCATCGCCGTGTGCTTCGACGAACGAGTTGAAGTTGGCCAAGACGACCTGTCGTAGCGTGCGCAGCTTGTCGTCGCTTAAAGCCCTGTCGAAGCTCCTCGCCTCCACGTGATAAATCGGTGTTTGCCACTCCATCCGCATCAGGCCGTACTTTGGTACTGTTGCAGCGATCAGCGATGTGAGCAACGAGGGAAGTTGAGTAGTGAGTGACGCTGGACGCAGCAAATCAAAAGTGATGTGACAAAATTTGCGCTCAGGCGCATACACAAAACACAATAACACAACGCGCGCACATATACAACGCATACCCAAACACAGCAGCACCACTCGCACACCCAAACACAGCAACACAACTCGCACACCCAAACACAGCAACACAACTCACATACACAACTCACATACACAAGCACTCAACACACTTACATCTGGCGTCAGCGGCAGCACTGCCAGATTGTTGTGAAGCAACCGCATCTTGTCCTTGTTCGTCTGCAAACACGTCGGTCTTTGCGGGAGGAGCAAACGCCTGCACTCCAGCTCCAGAACTGCGCCTTTCCTTGTCTCCATCACGTGCCTTCTCCACCGCATGGCTCCCTCCAACAGCAACAACGACAACAAGCACCACAACCAGCAGCACTGCCACAACACCAACACTGCTGCTGCTGTTTGCGACCCTGCTCATCATCGTCCGTCCTGTGCTGAAAATTCACCATGTGGAAGTGAATTATCTACAACGAGTGGGTAGGACAACCAAGCACGCAACAGCATGGGCGTGGGTGCCAGTCGGGATCGCACGTCGTACGCGTCTCTTGAGCACGATGGAAACGGCTACTTGACGACTGGCGTTGACATCAGGGTGATCAACTTGCTCTTGGAAGAAGTGCAGGCCCTCAAGGTCAAAGATCAGCAGCAGGAGAAAACCGGGGATGAGGCATCGAAGAAGGCATCGAAGAAGGCGTGGACAACGGCAGACGTGTGCCAGCATGTGGTTGTTCCCGCCACATTCGCAAGCGATTGCTCTTTCGCGCAGCTCATCACGCGCGCAGTGACGCAAGCGGATGCGTCACGTGGCACACGAAGCAGTCCGGGACAGCCGCGTTCAGGGCGCCTGCGCCCTCGATCTTTGCTGCCGTCACTGTGTCGCGGTGACACTGCGGTAGAGGAGGTCACCGCGGATAACGACGGCGACAGGGATGTCGCTGACGAGGACGCCCACACCCACACACCTACATCATCGCAGTCAGACGAGCCACCATCACACACCACTCCTGCCATTCGAAGCGACACGGACAAGCAGCGCACCGCAGCTTCTTACGCGGACGCCTCGGCCCGTATCAGAGCGAAGCTCCGACGCCTGCACGACACCAACAACACGCAGCAACAGCAAGGGCAAGGTGCTCGATCGCTGGTTGGGCGTGCCACCGTGTTCATCTCGCACGCTTGGCGCTTCCCGTTTGAGGAAGTGGCCAGCGTCATGCAGGATATGGCAGCAGAGGACCCAGCGACCTACTTCTGGTTCGACCTCGTGTGCAACAACCAGGTGTCGACCACGGCGCTGCCGCACGACTTCTGGAGCAACACGTTCTCCTCCGCCATTGATGACATTGGTCGCGTCGCCGTGATCTTCTCCCCGTGGTACGACCCCGTGCCTCTGCAGCGGTCGTGGTGCCTGTGGGAAATCAACTGCGGTATGCAGACGGCGGCGTTTGAGGTGCGCGTGCCACGCGCCCAACAGGCGCTCATGCACGAGGGAATTCTGACAGACTTCTCTGCGCTGCCAACAGCGCTCGCTCGCATCGACGCAGAGAAGGCCGAGGCGACCAAGCAGAGCGACGCAACCATGATTGCCGGCACGATCCGCCGCGGCATGGGCTTTTCCGCCTTCAACTACGCCGTGAAGGAGAAGCTCAGGCAGTGGTATCTTGACGCGGCAGAGGCTGCGCTCCCAAGTCACCCTGATCAGCAGTCGCTCGCGTATGCGCACGTGTGCTTGCAGGTTGCTGTCGTGCAGGGCCAGTTTGACCGCATCGACGCCGCAATTGCCAATGTGCGGCGCGCACTGGACATCTACGATGCCAAGCTCTCGCCGTCAGACACCAAGGTCATCAGCGCACTCAACAACCACGCTGGCCTGCTGCTGGCACAGCACAAGGCGCGTGAGGCGCAGGCTGTGCTCGACCAGGCGTGGGACCGTATGCGCACCCTCGAGTCCAGCAGCAGCAGCAGCAATGACGAGAACAGTGGCGATGACGGCAGCAACAACAACCACAGCAACAACCACAGCAGCAACAGCAACAGCAGCAACAGCAACAGCAACAATTACGACGAGAGTGATGACAGCAACAACAGTGGAAATGATGATAGCTGCGATGGCAAGAATGCCGACGCCGAGCAAGTGCTGTTGCTGCGGGCAGCGCTGCTGAACAACGCGGGGAAAGTACTCGACAGCAAGGGCGATCACGACGCAGCAGTCGACATGCACAAGGAGGCCATGGCGGCCTTGAAGCGCGTGCACGGGCCGGAGAGCGTGCAGGTTGCAACGTCGCTCAACAACATCGGCACCTCCCTTCACGGTGCGCGGCGGCTTGAAGAGGCGGCGGCCACGCACAGGGAAGCGCTTGCGCTGCGCGTGAAGCTGCTCGGTGGCCGCCACGTCGACGCAGCCAACAGCCACGAGCGCCTGGCAGATGTGCTGGCAGAGCTTGCGGAGGACAGCGATGCAACGCGGCACTACAACGAGGCGCTGAGCATCAAGGAGGAGAACTTGGGCAAGGGCCACCCGGATGTTGCGAGGTTGCAGACGTCGCTCAAGCACATGAAGCAGAAGCGCGAGCGCAGTACTGGAACTGCTGTGGTGGCGGAGGCGCAGCCTGAGCAGCCACCTCTGCCAGTGGCAGGCAGGCAGCGCCACGCAATACCGCAGCAAATGCTGTTCACGAGTGACTTGAGACGTGATGTGCCAACACAGTTGGCAATGCCGCAGCAAATGCTCTACACCAACGTCATCTGGAAGAACCCAACCTGAACCCTTGTGTGTGTACCTGTGTGTGTGTGTGTGTGTGTGTGTGTGTGTGTGTGTGTGTGTGTGTGTGCGCGCGCGCGTGTGTGTGT